AAAAAAAAAAAAAAAAAAAAAATCAGTGTTAGAAAAAAGAAGTGAGAATTGTAATGAGGAAAGCATGAACTCCAGACAGATTTAATTTAATAAGAAAGGAGTAAATTTTAGAACGACTTCTTTGCTCATAGGATCATGGTTTTACTTCCCTGGGAACTGAATGTGTAAGGGGTTTAAAAATTAACTGGCAGCTCTCACAGTGTTATGGAGCTCCTCTACACTCAACCCTCAACCTCTGACAGCAATACTGTGCATCAGGACTACTGTGGCAGAAGGAGGAGGAAAACGTGGCTTCCTCTCTCCTCAGCAATGAAGTCACAGCTCTCTCATGAAAGTCTACATTAAGCACCATTCTTCCTCAGAGCACTCTGCACTGAAGACAACTCGTTTTAAAAAGTTGTCATAAACAAGTACTGTATTTGCTCAATTCTAAGACAACTTTGAATTTAAGACTACCCCCCACAGTAATTAGATGCTAAACGGATTCTAGACATGGAAAATTATAACATCTATAACTTCCTAATTATTTTTAGATTTGCCCCCTACTGCTGTGGTAGGAAGCCAGCAGCAAGGGGCAGGCAATGGGAAAAGCAGAAGCAAGGGGGAAAAGCAGGAGGTGGGAAAACAGGGCCAGGAAGAACAGGCATCTTGCCATTTATTCCTTCTCCCCCTGGTGACTACCCATCCCACCTATTTACCTTCTCCAGTTTTCCCCAGTGATCTGGGCATAAAGAGATTCCCAGAGCCACTCTTCCCTGCCTTGCTCCCTTCCCCACCTCCCCTTTCTATGGGAAGATAGGGGAAAGGAATGGAGCAAGGTAGGGAAGGAGAAACGTGCAAGGTGTGGAGCTGGGTTCCCAGCACAGATGCTTCTTGCAGCATGGGGCAAACTAGAAGCTACAGCAGCCACCACAGCATGTAAACTCCTTCCCTGATTGGCTCCCTGTGATGAACAGGGAGGGGACCTAGTTTTAGAATAGCGTAAATATGGTATTCTTGTTATTAATAACCTTCAGATTATTCTAAGTGATAGATTTTTTTACAGAGAGATATTTAACTATTAATGTTTCTTTTGCTTTTGCACCTCTCTACTCCAACAATGATAGTGAAACCTATATAAAGAACCAACTTCAGTTCTCGGAGCTTCAATGGAATGCAATTTAAATCTTTTAAAAAGAAAACTAACATTGTATTGGAATTCCAATAGCTGTGGAAGCATTTCTATTTAAAAATAGGAGGAGATAGTTTACATATGGGCCAAGTATAGAGCCCAGGGCTGAATCAATTCAGTCTTCGCAGGTCAGTCTAAGCTGCATAGACTGAACCAATAAGCAAGTGAACAGACATTCTTGTGTCTGCATTTCTGGAATCACATGCCTACAGTGCCCCAGGCCAGAAACTGGGGGGAGCTAAAGCATGCTTCCCTGTTCAGGTGGAGCAGACAGTTTGGGCCAAGGCTATCCTGCCCACCCTGAGAGGGGAAGTTTGCGGGGGAAATACAGAGCATCCTGGGATGTGTGTTAACTTGAAACTGGAGGGGACTTGGGACAGAAATTCAATAAACTGATTTAAATCTAAACAGTTAAGTCTGATACTACATTCATCCTAGTTTACCTTAAATCAGTTTTGGCCATTTTGAAAGCAGCTTATTTATGCTGCACTTCTGTTGCTAGAAATTTGAACAGGTTTCCAAGCACTTATACTGGTTTGTATGCAGCTTCTGTTCTGAGCCACTGTCAAATTGGAAGTGGAATGTAAGGCGCAAAAGAAAAAAAAAAAAAAAAAAAAAAAAACTTATTAGGAAAACAGCAATTGACAATACTTCAATAGCTACCCAAAGAAGTACCTTGAGGAAAGGGACCAGGTATGGTTGTGGAGAAGACTTGAGTTCTATGTATAGTTTTTTTGTAAATTCTTCTGGTTCAATTTTTGCTTCCTAAAGGAGAGAGGGGGGAAAGAAAAAAAAAAAGAGCCTTTTATAATACAGGAAGTTAAATGGAGAAAGGTAGAAGCATCCCAGTTGATGGAAATTGTAAAGTGGTTTGTTTTCATACTTCCCTGATGTTTTTTACTCCTATACTTTTAACCAAACTGTTAGAATACAACAGCATTAAAAGTTCAATGCTGTATTAAAAGAATTGGATTTCTTGTTTTAATTAACATTTATAAGAGCAATAATTGCTCAAGATCCATTTAACAAGTGATTTTTAAATGAAAACATTAGCAAATTTACTAATATTATATTTACACATACATACAGACACACACACTCAATTCCAAGATGAGGTACCTTCTCTACCCTCTCCCACATGGGTAACACAATGCCTCATCTTAGAATCAAGCACCAATGAAAATGCAGTACCTGCAAATCAGAAGAGGTGGCAGGACTCCATGTAGTGGTACGGGGCCTGGTGGAGGCAGGTGGTTCAGGTAGTGGGGCAAGTGCCCAGGGGGTAGGAACCAGGGAGGGCAAGTAGTAGGGTTAGGCCACCTGCACCCCCTTTCCTTTCCCCACCTGCAGTGGGGGGGGAGGGTGCATTTAAGACAACCCCCCAGTCATTAGATTCTATACATGGAAAATTATAACAAATTTATACATTTTCCATAGTTGGATTCTATATAATTGGGATGGTTGTCTTAAATTCCCAGTTTCCTTGGATTTGTGAAAATATTGTTTATTGGCCCTGCTTAGTAACACTAATAATAAATAGTCTATACTTCAGTACAAAATGTGTGTATTCTCCACAAAAGTAATGGACGAAAGGGTATTTAACATACAGCTTTAAAGGGTCAAAAACAAGTCAGCAATTTTTTGTAAAGCAACTTTACTATAATGTTTGGTAGAATAGTTTTCCAGCCTATTTTTGAGAGGGATCTTAAAAGCATAGTACAAGGAGGAAGCTTATATTGAACAGACATGTTCAGTGCAGATTAATGGTATCTGAAAGAATGTATATGTATTATTGTTCTTTTATTTTTCTTCCCTTCTAATCAGCTGCTTGGGTTGGCCCCATTAGTTGCTGAGTGCAAAGCACTGAAAATCTACCCTGCCTGCTTTGGATTAGTTTCTGATGCACACTGCATGTTTAGTATGATGCATCAATACTTTTTACATGTTTCTGCAAGAATTGCCTTAGATTGCTTTATCTAAAACACAATTTAGAAAGGAAGTATAGGATAAAAGTTAAGGTTGGTACAGGATTTTACTTGTGCAAGGTTACTTCTCGCATACTTGCTCACTTAACGGCACCTTATTTGTGTTTGGAAACAAACACTTTAGCAAGACTGCAACAAAGCAGCATTTAAACAATTTGGGGAGAACAGTAGAAAGAATTATTTTTAAATGCCTATTTAAAGACTGCAGTTCAAATGTCAGTATTATTCTGTTCTATTTCCAGCAGAAGCAGATTCTTGTAACCTAACAAAGAGGCACAAGCAAAAGGAGAGGGAAGAAAGAGAACACTGAAGGATTCTTTGATTGTCTTCATGTTTACAAAGTTGTAGACCGGGGCAGGTTATTGTTCTCTGCTTCCATCACACTCAGTTATGCTTGAGCAGTGCACAAGTCTGCCCTACAGCATCAGTAAAGGATCTTGCTCGAAACTCCATGCAGATTTTGGCCAAGTAGAGGCCTTAAGAGAAGAAAATAATACTTAATTCTTATAGGTGAGTCATGTGAGAAGTAACAAAAGAAAGCCTAACTGCCCTCGGTATGGCTCAAAGAAGCAATTGTCCAAAAAAGCTATAAGGAGTCTCTTCTTAAAACTAAGAACTGGATCTAGTCCAGGGGCAGGCAATTATTTCAGGCAGAGGGCCGCTTACCCAGTTCTGGCAAGCTGCTGAGGGCTGCATGGGTAGCCCCACCCCTTGACAGGAGCCCCGCCCCCTGGTCACCATCTTGGTACCAATGTCCTTATGTCTTGGGACCAGTGTCCCAGGGCCAGCACCAGTGGGGCCCAGAGCAGGACACAGGCTGGCAGGGGTCTGCAGAGCCAGGCTGGGCTGCACCAGGAGAGAAAGGGGGGAGCTGGCCCCCCACCAGGCCCCCTGCCAGCCAGGACCCTGTATCCCTGCCACCCTGCTCTGGGACACCAGTGCAGGCGCTGTGCTCCCACTGGCTCCCTGCCTGCTCACTCCCAGTGCCCCCCAGCCCCATGGTACAGGCAGGGGGCAGCGTACAACCCCAACCCCCTGCTTGCTGGCAGGGAAGGAGCTGGTGCTGAGCATGGGGAAAAAGTGGCCGCTCACCCACCCCACACCTAAAGCTCCCTGCTGCAGCCGTTTGCAGACCACGTGGGGCTGGCGTGAGCAGCCACAGGCAGTCCCATGAGGGCTGCAAGTGGCTGCAGCACGGGCTGCCAGGCAGGGGAGGGGCAGCTTTTCCCCATACTCCACACCAGCTTGTAACTCAGGCTGCCACCACCGCCTCTGGGCTGCCCAGCACACAAGCTCTGGGTAGGTAGGAGCAGCAGCAAACGCTGCCTGGCGTGGTAAGTGGGGGGGGGCGGCGGCGAGTGCGGTGCTGCAGCTGTTGCCACCGTGCACAGCCCCGATGGGCAAGCCCAGAGCCACATGGTGTCAGGCTGGCAGTGGGCACCAGCTTGTAACCCAGCCCTGCGCTGGCTCTGGGCTTGCCCACTGGGGCTGTGCCACAGCTGCAGCCCCCTCGCTTACTGCGCTGGGCAGTGTTTGCTGCTGCTGCCCACCTGGAGCTTGCACCACAGTAGGCGGTGGTGAAAAGCAGCCCCATGCCCACCCCATGGCCAGTGCCCTGCACTGCAGCTGCTCACAGCCCATGTGGGGCTGCCTATGCCTTCTCAGGACAGCGCTGCACATGCTGCAAGTGGCTGCAGCAGGGAGTGCCGGCCACAGGGCAGGGCTGCTTTTTCCCCTGCACTCTGCACCAGCTCTTTCTCTGCCCCCCTTACCTGAGGTTCATGCACTGGGGCAGCCATGTGGTCCCAGGCCAGAAGCCCCTGCTGGGGCTTCCAGCTGTGGGGTGGGGCGGGGCTAGGTGGGCCCTGCTGTTGCAGAAGCCTGCTGGGCTTCCCCTGGGTCCTACTGCCCCTGGTTCCTATCATTTTTGACAGGAACCAAGGACAGATCATTTTAAATTTTCAAAGTTTTGTTAGGGGCCTCACGGGCCACATTTTGCCCACCCCTGATCTAGTCCCTTGATTCTACCTAGTAACAGTCATTTTTCATTGACAGAGTACACCCGTGTACACAGACAGGGAGAAGGAAAGAAAAGCATGCGAGCATTCAATTAAAGCCTAAACCATAATACATAGTCTTTCAGGGCCCAAATTAAAAAGGTTGCCAAAACGAAGCTCCCATTTACTTCCTCACTTATCCTGTAAATTTTCTCACTTCTCATACTTCTCTTTTCAAACTATTCATCTGAGTTACAATGGCCCTTTAGATAGTACTTGCAGAAGTCTATTGAAATAAATCTGGGCACACTAGATAATGTTTTTAGGAATATTCTGGTACATAATTAGGAAAAAAAAAACAAAAAACAAAACAAAAAAAACCACA